ATATAGTGAACTCTAATAAAATAATTATTATGATTATTATATAGTTAAAATTAATTAAACAGGTTAAAAGAGAATTTCTAAATTACGAATTGTTACAGATAATTGCTATCTCGGGGGTTAAAAAATAAATTAAAATATAAATTATACAGTACTTGTTCTAAATTCATACTATCGTGATTATAAGAATCTGATACAACTTGTTTTAAATTTATACTATCGCGATTATAAGAATCTGATGCATGCCATTTTTCTTTTGTTTTCCAAGAATATCTTTGTAATATAATACTTTCGTTGTCAGACTCTAAATTTTCTTTGTCGCTATCATCAATTACAATTACTTCGTTACTTTTAATTAGTGGAAGACTTTTCTAAATAATATAAATAATAAAGAATAATGATACATAAATATTAATATTAAATTATGTGACAGGAAGAAAAAACCTGCAATTCTAAAAATACATTATTATAAAATTCGTATTAATATATTTTTAAAATTATAGGTTTTCTCTTCCTGCTACTTATTTAATTATACATATGTACGTACTATTATCGTAATCCTCATCATCAATAACAATAGGATTAATTATATCTGGTTGATCACTTAAAGGTGCATGATTGATATGATTGACCGAGGTTGATTTATCATTTAAAGGTATATAATTGACCAAAGTTGATTGATCACTTAAGGGCATATAATTGACTGAAGTTGATTGATTTTCTAACGGAATATCATCTTCGTGCACAATGTTTTGTTGATAAAGCATTGAAATCATCGGTAATTCAGCTTGTGGATCTTGTCCAAATACAAGCTGATATGGTGTTGTCTTTGTTGACTTGCATTCTTGACTGTTCATTGCCCCTATATTTAATAAATATAAATACTTAATTGATATAACGATAATATATTACACTAATTTTTATTTGCTTACTTACAGATGACAAATGGCAATCCAACACTCCAATCCTTTCGGTTAGTCTCTTCCATCCATGCGCCAAGTTTCGTCTGAAGAATATCGTTACCCTTTTCAACAGAGCCCTGACATTGGGAATATCTAGACCGTCTGTGAATAAATTTAATAGTTGGCCAAAGTTGAATTGTTTTTTTTACAATTTCACCAATGAATTCTCCTCCATTATCTGAATGTAAGATCGCTGGTGGTCTATACATCAAACAAAACCGTAAAAGGAAACTTGCTGCTTCCTCTGCAGATCTTGTTCTTGCAGGTTCAGCAGCAGAGAATCTTGTAAAATGATCACGGATATGGATAATATAATTAAATTCACCATCTGGAACTGCTGTCATACTTATCGTATCCACCTTTAAAATGTATAATGATAATATTTGTAATTAAAAGCCTTAAACAAATTATATATTTAACTATATAAATTCTTACTTGAACATGTGCAAGAAAATTTTCTGCAATTATAGGTCTTATCGCGGGTACTCGTTTGTTTGCATGTCGTGTAACACACACATTGCATTGTTTTACTGCATTTTCAACAATTGTTTGAGGAATAAAACAGTATCTTTGCCGAATCTAAATTATATATTATATCAATATAAATTATGTATTATTTGACAAGTTTTTTTTCTTTAATTGTTAAATAAAATGCTTACTTTCAACCACGTTTTTTCCTGACCACCGTGCTCTGTATCTTGATGAGCTTGACAGGTCACAACATAAAAGTCTTCAATAGGACAAACTTGTGTACCACGATTATGATTTTCTATTTTAAGATTTAGTTCCTCAATAGTTCCAACTTTTACTACTGCAAATGTATGAAGAACCCAATATTTAAATTTTGGATTTTCATGTGTACTTGAAGGATTTCGTAAGAGAGTCAAGCAACGATCATATTTTGAACGATTCATTATATGCC